AAAGTCTGAAGAATTTTGCAGAAATTTGAATTTGGGCCAGTTATCAAGAAAAGTTTCCGCTACATTACAGTCCACTTTAAAGGTACCAGGAGAATTGCTCAGTGAAGGAGAGCTCGTATAAGCCATTTATAAAGCCGTACAAGGTGAGATAGAAGAGTTATAATCATTTGAAAATTATAAATTTGGCTGCCATCATGAAAAATCAACCTCAACCCTACATATAGGCTACCGCCTATATAATAAATGACTTCTTGTTTTTAAAATACTGCTTGTTAATAGTAAGGTTCTTGATTTATTACTATGCGAAGCAGGAATATCCTTGCCCTTTCCCAGTCTTTTACTGATACTTGTATAAATAATTTTTATTCCCAAGGAACCTTTAATCATGATTAACGTGAAGGAGAAATTGAAGTGCTACAGAAGGAGAGCAAATAAAGATGTTTTCTTGGCAATACAAAATTAAAGATAAATGGTGAGGGTATTTACCTAAGTACAGCCAGTCTACTTGGGGAAGATATTTCAGACGGGAATAAAGCATTACTGTTTCATGGGAAGCAAGTAGAGGAGGAGAGTGAAGAGGCCATATGCAGCATTCATCGTTGAGAAAAAAGTCGGACATCATTTGATTGTATCAAATGATGTCTTACTACAGCTTCAGTGTTGGCCTCTATACAGTCTTTGTACAATAGAATATAGAATTTGTAACAATTATGTCACATTCAACCACTCGATGTCTTTAAGGCAATGTTTTGATGTGTCATATCCCTTGGGTGAGATGTTGAATTTCAAATTTTAAAATTTTGATCGTCAAAACCTCTCTTCCCAATTTTCATCTCATTTGTGAAGTATGTCGATGCAGCTATACAGTTCTGATGGAAGTACTACAACACTTGTGGACTAGTTTCTTTTCGTTTACAAGTTCCTTTAAAATTGTATTTGCCTTCTGAAATCTTGCTTCCTGTCTTCTCATTATGCTGCCTCAAATGCTGGTCTTAGCCCAATCTCTTTTTTTACTGGAAGTTAACTGCCTATTTTTGCCCCTCCTAACTTCAAAGTTTACACTAATAATGAAGAATTGAGGCTGCTCTTGAGATGGAGTTCCACTGCAATTTTGGTATACTACATCTGCTTTTGATTCTCAACTTTTCTTTTTGCCATTGTTTGTCTGTAAAGTTTTACATCTTGTTTAGCATTGCCAACAGTTTCATAATTATTTACTAACATGAATTACTTTTTTTGTAAGAATTTTAGTAATGCAGGAGCTATTTCGTCTGGTATTGATTTGACATGAGATTGGAGTTCATCTTTTGCTTCTGATTTTTGTGACATTGTGACTTGTACTTCCTTTTGAAGCAGCAACATGATACCGCCACTGTTATGGCTGATGAGTGATTCAGTCATATATGCATGATCATTTTGTTATTAGTACAGGCAACTTTTGCTACTTGCAATCATATTAAAAGAGTAAAGTCATGTAGTGAAATTGTATTCACACATGTGAAGCATAAAGAATAAAGCGTTTGTACTTCTTCAAATATCTGTTATGGGATAATTGCATGTAGGTATCATTGTATTAATACTACGGGTAGCATTTGCTACTTGCAATCATAGTAGAGACTAAAGTCATGCTATGAATTTGTCCGCACACATGTGAATCACATGAGAGTAAATCATTTCTTTACGAAATGATAAGCCCTCTTTATTCCTTGACTAGTATCATTGAATTATTTATAAAAAGGTAGACATTATTAAATTAGCTTTTAGCTCTGCAAATTAGCAAATTTTTAAAAGCAAATAATTGTCGACATATTTCTAAAACACGAAGCAACTATGAAAATAGAAAAATTCAAATTCAATACATCAGCATGTCATGATTAGAGCGTCATACTCTAATCCAGAATGTGATATAATCTCACGTCTGCCAAATCCAGCTTTACTATTCATCATACAATTCCTATGATTCTCAACCTCCAATAGTTCTATATGAATGTTTAAGTTTTATCTGGTTTTGTCAAGCTCTGCTGCCAGCTGCCACCTTTTATTATATGACTATATTGAGTCAATTCAGGCCTTGTCACGTGTCACAGCATTGTCAAATTACACATGTCACATGCATTCAAAAGCTAATTATTAAATGAATGACTACAGTGATCCTTGTTAATACCTTGTTCCTGCTTTGTTAAATCGGAGTGAGTGACTTAATTGTCACCACAACATGAACAATTATGGTGCCAAAAGGAGGTGGTTTGTAATTGCCTATGGAGTAGTGGCTACTTAATTTGCATACTGTTTTTTTGGGATTTTAAAGTCACTACTTTCATGTTACATAGGATGGATTCAGTTTTTTATGCAATACAACAAGGTGAAGAAGGGCTAGATTTTGCGGTGAACAACATGGTAATGTACTACTCTCACCTCGGTTTCTACTTTTCTTTTTTTGAAAATACTGGTTCATTAATTATTGCAATGCCCAAGCAGGAATACGCTTGGTCATATCTTGGTTTTCGTTTCTTATTTCCAAGGAAAAGTGTCATAGGATGGAATGCCTAAGTTTCCAATTAATTATTCTCCTCGCTTGTCCTGTGACACTTGGGGATTAGCAAATATACATTTGATTCCTCAGTGAGACCTCCGTACATTGAAAATAATAAACTGGGAGCAATGATGAGCTCCCATTATGTCTTAAGAAAAAATTGCTTAGAGGTACAGTACAGTCATATGTTGAGGTTATTAAAAAAGCACCAGACTTAAATTAGTGCAATAACATCATTTCAATGTGATAACGGTAAGCCATGGTTTTTCTTGATAGAATCGGTTGATGGGTTAATACTGTTGTCATTAGGGGATTACGTCTGTTTGATAAATTTCTTGTACCTCAGCAACAAAATTAATTTACCTTTCCTTTATACCCACAAGTTTCTTTAAAGTTGTGTCTAAAATCTTCCCTCCTGTCTTCTCATTATGCTGCCTCAACTGCTAATTTTACCCAATCCTTTTTCTACTGGAAGATGCCCATTAACTGCATATTTGTCTTCTCCCTCTTGAAAGTTTACACTAATGGAATTTTTAGATGGAGGATTGAGGGTTACTCTTGAGATAAAGTTCCACTGCAATTTTGGTGTTACTATACCTGCCTTTGATTCTCAACTATCTCCTCCTAATTTTTAGCTATTGTTTGTCCGTAAAGTTTTACAGCATTGGCAAAAGTTTCATAGTTATAATTTAATTTACTGATTAACTTCAGAAGCTATTTTGTCTGCCGTTGGTGAGCTGTGAGTACATTTTTATTACTTCGCTTCTGACTGTGTGATATTGGTACATTTACTTCCTTTGTAGTGGCTGGAACATGATACAACCACTGTTATTGCTGATGTGTGGTTCAGTGACAATTGCATGTAGTTCATTGTCATTGTGTTAATAGTACAGGTAACTTTTCTACTTGCAATCATACTAAAGACTAAAGTCCTGCAGTGAATTTGTCCTCACACATGTGAAGCATAAGAACTTCTAATTTTAATGATTTTCAAAATAATAAGCCGTTTTTATTTTTTGACAAATATTATTTAAATTAGTAAATTAGCCTTCAGCTGTTCAAATTAGAAGGCAAGTAGTTATCAACATATTTTTAGAACACAAGCCAACTATGAAAATGGAAAAATTTATATTTGATACAACTTACTTTGTAGATACTGTGATTATTTGTGAAGGTTTATGCAAGTTTTATCTGGTTTTATCAAGCTTTAATGCCTCTTTCAATTAAATATGACTCCATTGAATTAGTTCAGGCCCAATCACCTGTCACTGCATGGTCAAAGTACTGTGTAATCTCACCTTGAATGTATTTAAATACATAATTATTAATAAATGACTTGTCTTAAAAATACTGCCATACCAATAGTGAGATTAATAAATTTAAGTTCCTTTAAAGTTGTATCTAAAATATTGCCTCCTGTCTCCTCATTATGCTGCCTTAACTACTTCCAATCCCTTTTTCTACTTGAAGATGCCAATTAACAGCCTATTTTTGCCCTTCAAAGTTTACACTAATGATGAACAATTGAGGGCTACTCTTGAGATGGAGTTCCACTGTAATTTTCATGATGCTAACTTTTATCTCCTCCTATTTTTTGTTTGACTATAAAGTTTTACGGCATTGGCAATAGTTTCATAGTTATGTTTACCAAGGATGCTTCTGTTTATAAGAATTTTATTTGCAGAGAGTTGATCTTCAGCTTCTTTACAAGCAACATCTGCAAAGGCACATTGACATCATATACATCAATTCCTGTATAGCAGTTTCTTTTTGTATACATGTATGTTTCTAGCATGTCCTGACGGATTTGGTTAGTGAAGAGTAGCTTGACCTTCAATGACATAAGAGTCATAAAGTCTTTGGAGTAATTTGTATTGAACACAATGCATTACATCGCACCTTAAAGAATTTATTGCTCTGTGTTGTCTTTCTCCTACTTTTAATCTTGAAATAATTGTGACCCGATATGAGAAAACCAGGCTATCTGCGGGAATTATCATTTTGAGCTATGGGCTCATAATCACGAAAAATCTTTACCTGGGCGAAATTCATTTTATCACATAAACATGTTATATAAACAAAATCCTTTCATTTGATACCAAAATCAGGGGTAGCGAAGCCTTCTTTGCCGAGTTATAAGCCCTTCGACATTTTACCTTGATTGTGCACGGAGAATGTTACACGGAGCGACCACGGAATAAAAACGGAGGGCTTTAATGCGTCATTAGGTAACCATGGAGTCTCTATAGCAACTATTTAAAGTATAACAAAGACGAAGAAGACTACTTATAAAAACTATGGCTACAGAAAGAGACATTGCTCGCTTGTTAAATGAAGAAATAGGTCCTCGAGACAGTGACTACGTTGCTTCAGTTCTTGGGGACTACTTTTGTGATGAAACTAGTGGTAAGCTTATTCATAACACTGTTTACATACTAACTGTGAATAGCGGTTAGCTATCACAACAATGACATTCCATCACCTGTATAAATGCACAATATTATTATATTAAACTTAGTTATGCAGTGTATTTGTTAATTGATAGAGACAGACTATGAAGCAGTAGAAGATATGGAAGAAGAAGTGGTAGAGGAATGGAAAGAAGAAGAGAAAGAGACAAAAGATTGTGATGAAGATATTAATCCACCACTGTTTGATCCTGAGGTGGCTGTGGAGCTACAAGTATCAGATCTTGATTTAGAATCAGCGATGCCTGATGCTCCAGCTACTTCAACTACTCACTCTTGTGATGACATGAGAAAGGAAGACCTACAGGAGGAAGAAGAATTATCAAAGTTCTTTGAACATGGATGTGGTTGCTCAGATAATTGCTATGCACTGTTCAGTCACTCTTACATAAAAACATATAGATGTGACATACAAGCCATCGCAAAGCCTGTTCAAGAAATTGCTATTATGAGTCAAATGGCAGCAACATCTACCATGGGGGGATTGTCGACAGGCAACCACAGGAGACAGAAAGAGGGAAAGAGGCAATTTTTTACGTTCATGCATCAAGGTCATAAGGTTTGTAACTATGAGTGACACAACACAAAATTAATCGTTTTTCAACTAGATATGTAGAGTAACATTTCTGAAGCTACATGCATGTGGCAAAAGCAGGTTTGAGGAAGTCATAAAAAACTACAGAATGAATGGATTAATACCAAGGTATGAATGGACTTACAAATTCAATGTTATGTACTTAACTTTATTAGAGTTCACGGAAATGCTGGAAAGACACCAAACCATGCTTTGACTTATGATGATATTCTCCGGGTTGTTGCTTTCATCAGAAATTACGCTGAAGTCCATGGAATCAGTCTTCCTGGAAGAATACCTGGAATGAAAAGTTACGAGAATAAGAAGTTCTTACCATGCAGTACATCTAAAAGGCAGGTATACTTAGAGTATGCGGAATCATGTGAAGGGCTTTATGTCATGTTAACTTTATGTTAACTTTAAGACTTGGAACAGTTTCGGCCAGCTCTTAAAAGTAAACATAATTCAAGTGTAAATTAAAGGCTTTATGACATTGTAAATTAGGACAGCTGGAACTAATAGAGGAAGGAAGGAGGGAGAGAGGAGAAATAAA